CGCACCCGCACTTCGGCTACCCGTCCCACCACTCTGGCTTCCGTTCCGACGACACGGAGAGCGACCTGCTCGACCCCGTCGACTCACCCGGTGGCTACAGTCCTCCGGCCTGGCGCCGTCTGGGAAACGGGAACCGCGACAGCGGCTTCTGGCGCAAGACTAACGACATTCTCGGCACGTGCCCGCCGCGGGACTCGCGTGCGTCGAGCCCCGCGTACGACGACGGCGACCTGCCGGGCGACGACGTCCTCGACCGCGCCGTGAGGACGAGGCTGCCGACGGGAAGCATGAGCCCCGACAAGCGCAGGTCGCCGAGCCCGGCGCCCAAGCGTGAGGAGACGACAACGCTGAAACTCGACGACATGGCCTGGAAAGGGTCGTCGCGTCTGGGTGAGGTGCGCAGCGCCGAGGGCCCCGACAATTACATCCGCTTCGCGTTGCGGGCGGAGGTGCAGCAGCGCACGGAACCGATTGAGCGGGCCGTCCATTTTCTGCGCGCGCGGTGGGCCGCCGCGACCAAGTCGTGGTCGTCGCTCCTTCTCTCCGTCCTCGTCGCCGTTGTCTCCGCGACAGCGCTCCGCAACCTCTTCCAGCCGGCGACGCCCAGGCCCGTGCCGGACCTCGTCAAGGTGGCGGGGATCGCGCGGTCGTTCGAGCCGCTCATCTACTTTTCGGAGAACGGCGCGTCGCAGGTCGGCGACCTGCAGGCGACGGGCGTGGCGGTGTGGGATCTCGGCGAGAGCGTGCGGTCGAGCAACATGACGTCGGCGCCGATCATCGTCAAGGAGCTCGACGAGCTCAGCGACAGCCTCAAGACGCTCGCCGTGGAGCTGACCAAGTTCTTCGCCAACGTCGACGGCGACATTGACGGCATCCTCCTCGTCATGGACTGGGCGCGGCGGGAGCTGGCGCAGGTGCAGCAGCTGGCGTCGCCGCCGCTGACGGCGGCGTTTGACAACGTGCACAACCTGCTGTCGCGGGCGGGTGTGCTCGAGACGGCGGCCGGGCGCCCGACGCGCGCGGGGGCGCTCGTGACGGCGCTCTTCGGGCTGTCGAACCCGCAGCGCACGCAGCAGGCGCTCGAGCGGACGTTCCACGAGTTCCTGTCGGTGCTCGAGGAGGCGATCGAGGCGGAGCTGCAGCACTCGCTCGCGCTGTTCGGGCTCTTCGAGGCCATCGACCGGCAGTTCCTCAACCTCGCGCGGACGGTGGTGCGCGAGGCCAGCGCGCAGGAGGACATGCAGGCCGAGGTGCTGTCGTCGCTGTGGACGCGGATCCTCGGGGCCAACGCCGGGGCCGTGGCCAAGTTTGCGCGCAACAAGCTGCTGCTGCAGAACGTGCGCGAGAAGACGGTGCGCAACAAGGGCGTGCTCGTCGAGCACAACGGGCGGCTGCTGACGCTCAAGGCGAACCTCGAGAGCCTGCGGCGGAAGCTCGTCAGCCCGCTCGTGCGCAGCGTCAACTCGAGCACGCTGACGCTCGACGAGCAGGTGCGCGGGCTCGAGACGGTCGGCGGCTACCTCGAGGGCGTGCGGGCGCGGCAGAAGGGCAAGCTCATGGCCATGCTGTACGGCGGCGCACGGGGGATCGACGACCGAGCCCTGCCGTGATGTGGCCATGAGGAGGTCGCGTTTTGGGTACGGCGTTTGGACGTGCGACGTGGGGACGTTGGGACGTTGGGACGGTCGCCAGGCTGGCAAGGAATGGATTGGCAGACGAGCATGTCAGGACTCGTGTGCAAGGCTGTGCATCATTTGGCGTTGGGGGGTCCTCTGGTAGGGTAGCTGTCGAATAGGATTCTTGCTGTCTTTTTTTTTTTTGGGCTGGCATGATTGCATGAACAAACACCAAGTCAACGAGGGCGGCCTATGCTGCTCGCGAGATGCCACAGCATGTCGACGTCGTAGAAAAAGTGGATTCCGTCAGAGTCTTGCGACTGCAGGTCATCATCGCCTTTGGCCTCTCGCCTTTGGGTCTCTCGCCTTGGCTTCTCATCTTTGGCCTCACCCCGTCTGCATCGCCACCCACTCTGCGGCCTCTGTGAGTCAGACGTGAGACGTAAGGTCGTCTTGCGTCACGAGACAGACACGGGAGAACATGAGGGATACTAAAGCAGGCAGCACGTCCTCCAGGGCCACCAACCACCACCACCATGACCACCGCACAATGACCACACACAGCAACCACAAACGAAGACCATCATCACCCCGACGGGCCCCGCCGCCACGGCAGCACACGGCCAAGACGCACACGTCCCTCGCCGCCCTACCCACAGACATCCTCCTCGACATCATAGGCCACCTCGCCACGGCCGCCCCCGTCGCCCGCCTCGCGCAGACCTCCAAGGCGCTGCACGCCCTCGTCGCCGACGCCGGCTGGAAGACGTTTCTCCGGCACGCCTTTCCGACGCTGCCGCAGCACCACCGTGACGACGCGCCCGCACAGCCCTCCTGGGCCACGCTCGCGCGCGTTCTGACGGCGTCGGCGCGCCTGCGGACCGCCACGCCTACGTGCCCGTCGTGTACACGGACGCGCGGGGCCGCGAGCGGCAACTTCCCTCGACGGCTACGCCGGGGCCCACGGCGCACCCGTTCTCGCCTTGGTCGACGCGCGGATCGTGGCACGCCGGCACGCAGGAGCTCGTCGTCTGGGGCGTCGGCGAGACCTCGTCGGGCG